AAATCTATAATATATTGATAGCAGAAGTCACTACAAGTACTCGGTTTCTATTACACATTAGTTAGGCTTAGAACATAAGTTAAGAAATGCTGGACGAGGAAAAAAAAAAAAAGAAATGCTGGACAAGGAACGCCTGGGTGGCTCAGTCAGTTAAGCATCTGACTTCAGCTCAGGTCATGATCCCAGGATCCTGGGTTCGAGCCCTGCATCAGGATCCCTGCTCAGTGTGAAGCCTGTGCTTCTCCCTCTCCCATGCTCTCAAATAAATAAATAAAATCAAGAAAGAAAGAAAGAAAGAAAGAAAGAAAGAAAGAAAGAAAGAAAGAAAGAAAGAAAGAAAGAAAGAAAGAAGAAAGAAAGAAAGAAAGAAAGAAAGAAAGAAAGAAAGAAAGAAAGAAAGAAAGAAAGAAAGAAAGAAAGAAATGCTATATGGCCCTCTGAAAAACTCCTAAGCTAGGGACACCTGGGTGGCTTAGCGGTTGAGTGTCTGCCTTTGGCTCAGGTCTGATCCTGGGATCCGGGATCGAGTCATGAACCGAACCGGGTTCCCTGCAGGGAGACTACTTCTCCCTCTGCCTATGTCTCTGCCTATCTTTCTCTGTCTCTCATTAAAAAAAAAAAAAAAAAACTCCTAAGAATAATAAAGATATGAGTAAAACTAAAGCAGTATATAAGACAAAATATTTCAAACACACATAAATGATCTTTTAGCTAATGAATTTTAAAACTGCACCAACAAAAATTCCTAATGATTCTTAGCCTTTATATATTATTTGCTTAAAATGCTTTCCTTATATTAGTTTTTCTTAAACTAAAAGAAAGTTGCTTCTGCTACTTGCTTTTGGAATTCTTTCAATTAAACAAAAACTAAGTATCAACTAAACTATTTTACAGTAAGAAAATATTTACCATATCTCAATAAATTAAATTTCTATTTCTTTGAAAAGATGTATGTTTCACAATTCACATGAAAAGTGTTACTTATTTATCTTTTAAAACAAATTAAAAACCAATTTCTGAAACCTAGGATTGTGACCAGACTGTGCTCAAATAATAGACTCTTACCTTTTTCTTTTCCTTGACATCATATAAAGCCAAACTTGCAAAAATGGGTTCAATTTCAATTTCAAACCTTTAAGAAGAAAGAAAAAAGTTTAACCTTTCTACATCAGTGCTATCCCATCTATGCTACTCCTTCTTTCTGAAACACTTTTCCATGTATAGCTTTCTGTCTAAACCATTACATTACCTAGGTAATCCATATATTCAATGTAAAAAAAACTAAGAAAACACGTAAAAAATTTCAGAGGAAAATGGGAGCACACAAAATTCCACCAGATGGAAAGAACCAAAATTAAGTTTCGAGGCCTACACATTCTAGACTTTTGTCTATGTATAAATGCATGTGGTGAATGGATTTTTTAAAAACAAAGTGTGCCACTATATATTTAGTAGTCTGCTTTTTCAACTTATTATTCTATGGATATATATCCCTGTCATACATATTAATCTAACCATGATTTCTAATGCTGGCATAGTAATTTTCATTATATAAATATGCCAAAATGTACTTTTTTTTTTTAAGATTTTATTTATTTATTCATGAGAGAGGCAGAGACAAAGGCAGAGGGAGATATAGACTCCATGCATGGAGCATGATGTGGGACTGGATCCCGGGACCCCAGGATCACACCTGGGCCAAAGGCAGACGCTCAACCGCTGAGCCACCCAGGCATCCCACCAAAATGTATTTTAGAACTATAATCCTTAAATTGTGGTATCTAATTTCACTTCTAAGAACAATGATTTACATATAGCAAACATTTAGTAAGTATCTACTGAATGAAATGATATGTATAAGTTAACTAAAACTCTAGAGCGGTGGTTCTCAATAAAGGACAATTTTGCCCCCAACGGGACATTTGACAATATCTGGAAACATTTTAAACTATCATTACTGGGATCCCTGGGTGGCGCAGCGGTTTAGCGCCTGCCTTTGGCCCAGGGCGCGATCCTAGAGACCCGGGATCGAATCCCGCATCGAGCTCCCGGTGCATGGAGCCTGCTTCTCCCTCTGCCTGTGTCTCTGCCTCTCTCTCTCTCTCTGTGTGACTATCATAAATAAAATAATAATAATAATAATAATAATAATAATAATAATAATAAATAAACTACCATTACTAAAAATAAAATAAAATAAATAAATAAAAACTATCATTACTGCAGGTGTATTATTGGTATTTCAGTGAGTAGAGACTAAGCCTATATGGCAAAACATTCTGCACTGTGTAGGAGAGACCCTGACAACAAAGAATTATCCAGACAAAAATGTCAATAGTGCTAAAGTTATAAAAACTCTGTTCTACACTGCTCATTTTTTTTTTTTTATCCTAAGAGTATTACCAAAGTCCTTGCCAGAGATGACATACTCACATTGGGTTAAAGGTTTAATGAACGGTGACTCACAAAGATTTGGACAAGATTTCAGAAGAACAGCTACAGAGAGTACAATTCTCCAGGGACAGCAATAGCAGGGAGTCATTATCAATCCCTGACCTAAAAGAGACCTTGGAAGTGGTAAATCAAAACTTAGAACAGGGACACCTGGGTGGCTCAGCAGTTTAGCGCCTGCCTTTGTCCCAGAGCATGATCCTGGAGTCCTGGGATCAAGTCCCACATCAGGCTCCCCACATGGAGCCTTTTCCTCTCTGCCTATTTCTCTCATGAATAAATAAATAAAATCTTAAAAAAAAAAAAACTTAGAAAAAATAGATAAGGACCCTTCACAGAGGTGGTCTTGGAAGAAGGAGGCAACCAATCAATATGACCTAGCAGGGAACGAATAAAGGGAAAAAAATACCCCTAATTTCACTCTCTTCTACCCTCTAACTTCCTAATGCCTCTTTTAGCAGAACTCAATGGAGAAGCCAAATAGGAATTTTGGTGATACTGTCTACACAGCTCAACTTCTACAATGCCTACTCTGCAATCTCTGTAACACCTGTTACTGTCACTCTCTCTGACTTTGTGACTCCAGTGGGTATGTGGTACCATACTGGACTTTTAATATGCATCTCTTCATATATTTATGACCATATATGTATTGTCTTTTAAACCATTTTTCTATTTCTTGTGTGACATTTTCCTCATCAATGTATACTCTTTATCATTCTACATATGGACACTTTGTCAAATGAATATATTGAAAATATCTTCTCCCTCTATATGACAGAGAAAGAAAAATACAGAGAAACAGATATCCACCTGTCCTGCCAATTTACTGAAAAGATTACTTTTCCCCACTGTCTATAAAAACTATGTTCCAAGACCTTCCCCCACCCCCCAGCCATGGATACCTGAAACCTTGTGGGTAGTCCTGGAATCTACATATACTATGTTTTTTCCAATACATAAACAATTGTGATAAAATTTAATTTATACTTTAGATACAGTAAAAGATTAAAAGGAATAGAACAAACAAAATAGAACAAGTACATAATAAAAGATATGTGAATGTGGTCTCTCTCCCTCAAAATCTTATTGTACTGTACTCATCCTCCTTTTCCTTACGATGAGATGATAAAATGTCAATGTTTAAGTTGAAGTGGAGAAGGACATAGGCTACCTATGTATTGTCAAAAGGATCATCATCTGCTTCTGGATAGCAACTGACCACTGGTAAATGAATCCATGAATGAGAGGGGAACTATAGTAGTACCACTTTAATAGTAAATCAAAAATCCATGAACATATAGGTCTATCTCTAGTTCTATTTCACTGGATGGTTTATTTAATTATGTGTCATTGCTATACTGTCTTAATTATGTAACTTCACATTAAGTCTTGATACCTAGTTTATAGTGCTTCAAAACTGCCCTGCCTCCTTTGACCCTTTTCATTTTCATATAAATCTTAAATTCAGAGCAGCCCAGGTGGCTCAGCACTTTAGTGCCACCTTCAGCCCAGGGCCTGATCCTGGAGGCCCCGGATCGAGTCCCACGTCCCACGTCGGGCTCCCTGCATGGAGCCTGCTTCTCCCTCTGCCTCTCTCTCTGTGTCTCATGAATAAATAAATAAAATCTTAAAAAAAAAAAAATCTTAAATTCAGACAAAAATAAGCAAAAATGGATCAAATGTAACAGAAAAGTTAATTGCTTATTCAGAAAGTTAGCATCCTATTTTCTAATTTAGCAACATAAAATTCACATATAACAGTTTTTTCTATGATGTTGGACAGTATGGACAGTATTTAAAGATTCATATTGTTAGTATGATGAACAAAGATTGGAAATCTTGAGGAAAAAAAACCACTGTATTTCACATTAAGGAAGGCTCCTCCTGGGGATCCCTGGATGGCTCAGCGGTTTAGTGTCTGCTTTTAGCCCAGGGCGTGATCCTGGGGTCCCCGGATTGAATCCCACATCAGGCTCCCTGCATGGAGCCTGCTTGTCTCTCTGCCTGTGTCTCTGCTTCTCTCTCTGTGTCTCTCATGAATAAATAAATAAAATCTTTAAAAAAAAAAAAAAAAGAAGAAGGATCCTTCTAATGCATTACAAGGATTTTTTAAAACCGATACATCATTTGATTTTTTTTTTAAATGTTTCAAAGGCTCTTGCATTGTACAAAGGGACGGCCATGGTTGCTTTTTTAAAAGTCTTCTCTTTTTCAATGTATACTTCTCATACATTCAGTTTATAATCTGAGTCAAAAGAAATTTTAAAAAGCATACCATACTACTCTCATGCAACAAAACATAACCATGCTTCAGTTTGTCAAGAAATACTATTTAAGCACTTGATATTCAGTGACTACTAAGTTGCAAAAAGGGTTGTTGTTGGTTTTTTTCACTAGAAGTGCTGATTTATTTGAAATGTTGAGAATTCTAAAACATCCTCAAAAAGGTAATTTCTAATTACTCAGAGGCCTATCAAAACACACTACTAACAAAATATTGGCTTATTTCTTTCAGGCTTTCTTTTTTTTTATTTTTAATTCCCCTAAGGAGGTGCACTGTTCCTGGGAGTACTATAATACCAGGTCAATGTATGGAGTAGATGGAGCAAACTCCTATTCCATCTCCTACTTCCAAATATCCATTTATATATATTTGGCTAGATGATGTATCAGATATTAAACTGATAAGAACAGATTTTAGTGGAGTATATTTTAACACATTTGCTTTCATACAATTTTCATTATACAGTTTTGAACATTTTATCAACATGTATTGACCTTCTATTATGACTTATGGTCAATTTTGCCTGATAATAATACTAATAATCTGGAATTACATTTTTGCCTTGGAGTTTTTTGAACCATACAGATACTATGTAAGCTTACGGTTATGAACTCAAGAGGAGTTATTGTCTGGGTTTTTTTTTTCCTGTTTCATATCTAAGTTTCTCCCTGCTCGAGCCAAAGTCATAAAACACAAAAATCTGCACCACCTAGAATATTACTCCAATAAAATCTGCTGCTGGTAGTTACTTATACAAGAGTCTGTTTCCATCCTGCTTGAGTACCAAGCTCTTTCTCTTATAAAGTCCATTGAAACAGGGTTGGGCAATAGCCCCAGTGTAAAAATTTGCTACAAAATGCTTACTCCTATGGAAATATTTCATAGCATTTCTAGGCTCCCAAGAATTCTTAGTTTTCTATCAGCTAACCATGTCCCAGAAGGGTTTCCCTGAATGTCTAGACCATTTTATTGCTGACTCACAGTCTTAATATTAAAAACAATTTTCTCATGCAGGATAAAGGAAGGTTATTATTCTTGAAGAATAAAATGTAAGAAAATATTTTCAAAAATGTATCAGTTTCTATAATTGATATGTAAAATAAAACTATCATTTCTGACTCTTTCTGAATTCACAATGTGACTAAGTTCTTACTTACTCTAAACCTGGATTTTTCTTATGATAGAGAAATCATATATATATATATATATATATATATATATATATATATACACACACACACACACTTCTTGGTTAAGAATTTTTAGTAAGAGGGATGCCCGGGTGGCTCAGCAGTTTAGCATCTGCCTTGGGATCAGGGCGCGATCCTGGAGTCCGGGATTAAGTCTCACATCGGGCTGCCTGCATGGAAGCTGCTTCTCCCTCTGCCTGTGTCTCTGCCTCTCTCTCTCTGTGTCTCATGAATAAGTAAATAAAATCTTTAGAAAAAGAAAAGAAAACAATGGCTTCCCCAAGAATTTATCAAAAAAAAAAATTTTTTTTTAATAAAAGCTGACCAACTAAAACTAAAGGACACAAAATGATGTGAAAAAAAAAACCATTCTATATTTTATTTAAGGGAGAAATAACAAATTTATAACCTTATTAGTCAGTAAGTTCACAAGTATAAAACCACAATGAGATACCTCACCTCCACTATAATTAAAAAAAGATTAAAAATGTTGGCAAAAATCAGACAAGTTAGAAATGCTATACTTGATACTGGGAATATAAAATTGTGCAGCTGCTTTGGAAAATAGCCTGGCAGTTCCTCCAAAATTTAACCATGGAGTTACCAAATCAACCACAATTCTAATCGTAGGCATATACCCAAGAAAAATGAAAACGTATGCTCACACCAAAACCTGTATGTAAATGTCCTAGCAATATGATGTAACGGCTAGAAAAGTGGAAACAACCCAAATGTTCACAACTGATGAATGGATAAACAAATATTTTGTATCCATCAAGTCAAATATCAATCAGCCACAAAAAGAAGTACTGATACATGCTACAACAAAGAGACACCCTTAAAACATTATACTAAGTGAAAGAAGACAAACAAAAAGAAACATAAATTGTATGATTCCATTATTGGGAAATGATCAAAATAAACAAATCTATATAGACATAAAAGAATAAGTAGTTGCTGAGGACTGAAAGAATTGGGGGGAAAAGTGAAAAGTAATGGATATGGGATTTTTGAGGGGGATGATGAAAATATTCTAAAACTGACGGTGATGCTGCTGCACAAATCTGTGATTATATTAAAACCCACTGAATTGAACATGGAGTGAACTGGGTGAATCCCCTGGTGAACTCTGCAGGATATACTTTGGGTAAACTGCATAATATGTGACTATAATTCAATAAAGCTGTTATTTTTTAAAAAGTGGAAACAACACATGCTCATCAACTAATAAATGAATAAAATGCACTGTATTCATGGTATAGTATTATTAGCTATATAAAAGAATGAAGTATTGACATATGCTACAAAATAAACCCTGAAAACATTACACTATGTGAAAGAAGCCAGACATAAAGGGCCAAATATTACATAATTCCATTTATATTAATTATACAGAATAGGTAAACTTAAAGAAACCTAAAACAAATTGTTGTCAGGGGCTGAGAGAACAGGGAGTGACCGCTATGGATACTTTGATGAACTGAATTGTGTCCCCTGAGAATTTATATGTTGCAGCCCTAATCCTCCATTTGACTACATTTAGAGATAGAGCCTTCAAGTAGGTAATTAAGGTTAAATGAGACAATAAGGCTGAGACTCTAAGCCAAAAAGACTGGTATCTTTATAAAAAAGAGAAAAAGATACCAGCACCTCTCTTCTCCTCGTGTAGGAACAAAGAAAAAGCTATGTGAGGGTACAACAAGGTGGCCATCTGCAAAGCAAGAGGCTAGGCTTTGAGAGAGCCAGGAAGGTGAAAGGAAACTGAGTCCCTGCCCTTATGAGACAGCACAACAAACAGTCCCTCAGATTTTTTTTTTTTAAATGATTTACTGGTTATCTATTTCTGGTGTCTACAGGAGGGGGATTTGTTTACTCATCTCAGACCATGTGCTAGGGATGGTCATCCATCTCTAGGGATGACTAGGAGACCTCTCCAGGAACAAAGAAGCTGGTGGGTGCAAATTTCCTCTCCAACCCCGCAGTCTACATACCTACTGGAACCAGCACAACGCAAACTCAGCAACTAACTTGCTAAAAGTGCACTGTGCCTCTTCATTCTCCTAGACCTGCTGCCCCCTACAATACGCCCTTGACTAGAACCCATCCAAAGCAGTGCCACAAGTCTGGCAGTGTGCACGCAACCCCAACAGGCACCAGCACCACTCCAAAGTGACTGCTACTCTGAAGAAAGGGAAACATAATCACAATAGCAGTCAAATGGCACCAGACAGCTGGTCTGACTGCAAGCCTGTGGTACCAGACAGCTGGTGGCACCAGACAGCTGGCGGCACCAGACAGCTGGCACCAGACAGCTGGTCTGACTGCAAGCCTCATCTGTGGCAACAGACAGCTGTGGCACCAGACAGCTGTGGCACCAGACAGCTGGTCTGACTGTGGCACCAGACAGCTGGCACCAGACAGCTGGTCTGACTGCAAGCCTCATCCACCAATGAAACCTTTAAGGGAAACACAGGGAAATTGCCCTGCAGTTCAGTGCTACTATATCTCTGCCAAATGCCTGGTCCTATTCAACCTAAGCCTAAGGCGCAGCCCCAAACTGGCACACTAAAAACATAGGAACCAAACCCTGCCTACAACAAGCAATAAGAGCTGCTGTAGATGACTGGACTGAAGGCAAAAGCAGCTCAGCCATGATAGCAGGATGCATGTATCACACATAGAAGACCCCCTGAATAACTGGATTCTGGTGAACAGTGGACATTAGACCACAGGGACCTACAGGACCTCTTCTTCATAAGGCTGCTAGTTTCAAGAGCAGGAAGCATAGCTGATTTTCCTAACACAGAGACATACACAGAGAGTTAGATAAAATGAGGAAACAGAGGAATATGTTCCAAATTAAAAAACAAGACAGGGCAGCCTAGGTGGCTCAACGGTTTAGTGCCGCCTTCGGCCCAGGGTATAATCCTGGAGACCCGGGATCGAGTCCCACATTGGGCTCCCTGCATGGAGCCTGCTTCTCCCTCTGCCTGTGTCTCTGCCTCTCTCTCTGGGTGTGTCTCTCATGAATAAATAAATAAAATCTTAAAAAAAAAAAAGACAAAATTACAGCAAGAGAACTAAACAAAACTTATATAAATAACATGCCCAATTGAGAATTTAAAGAAATAGTCATAAAGATACTCATGGGACTGGAGAAAAGAGGAGATGATCTCAGGGAGACATTCAACAAAGAAAAAGAAAACATAACAAAATAAAACAAAAAATCAGAGATGAAGAACACAGTAAGTGAAATTAAAAATACACCAGACAGAATACATGGCAGAAAACAAGAAGCAGAAGAGATCAGTGACCTGGAAGACAGAGTAATGGAAAGCAATCAAGCTGAATAGAAGAGGGAGAAAAAATTGTAAAAAATGAGAAATGACTTATAGAATTCAGTGATATCATAAAGTGTAGAAACATTCATATCATAAGTGTCCCAGAAGAATAGAGAGGAAAGGGGGCAGAAAACTTGTTTGAAGAAATAATAGCTGAAACCTTCCCAAATCTGGGGAAGGAAATAGAAATCCTGAGGAGGCACAGAGAGCTCCTAGCTATATCAACCCAAGGAAGTCCACACCAAGACACATAGTAATTGAAATTACTAGTGACAGAGAATTCTAAAAGCAGCAAGAGAAAACAATTACATACAAGGAAAATCCCATAAGGCTATCAACTGATTCTTCAGCAGAAACTTTGTAGGCCAGGGACACCTGGGTGGCTCAGCAGTTGAGCGGCTGCCTTTGGCTCAGGGTGTGATCCCAGGGTCCTGGGATCAAGTCCTGCATCAGGCTCTTCACAGGGAGCCTGCTTCTCCCTCTGCCTGTGTCTCTGCCTTCTCTCTGTGTCTCTCATGAATAAATAAAAAAAATCTTTAAAGAAAAAAAGAGGGATGCCTGGGTGGCTCAGCGGATTAGCACCTGCTTTTAAGCCCAGGGCATGATTCTGGAGTCCCAGGATCGAGTTCCACATTGGGCTCCCTGCATGGAGCCTGCTTCTCCCTCTGCCTATGTCTTTGCCCCTCTCTCTCTCTCTCTCTGTCTCTCATGAATAAATAAATAAAATATTTTATAAATAAATAAATGAAAGAAAGAAACAAACAAACTTTGGAGGCCAGAAGGGAATAGCATGATATATTCAAAGTGCTGAAACAAAAAAAAAAAACCCTGTAGCCAAGAACACTTTACCCAGCAAGTCTATCTTTCAGAAGAGAATGAGGGTAAAGAGACAAAAGTTAAAAGAATTCATGACCAGGGATC